AAGTACAACTGAAACCAGAGACTTTTCTTTTGGGACTAATGGACAAGCAATTAGAAAAAAGGCATGGAACTTTGTTTTTAGATAATCACACTTTCATTTCAGGTGAAGCAGCAGTGAAATTACTTCTTCATAAATCTTCCAAATTGCAAGATTTAGCGATACCATGCATACAAAAAGAAATAATTTATTCAATGTCATATCTGACTATTAGTTTATTTTATCATATCTCATAGGGTTTATAAATATAACAAAATACATAATAAAGTATGAACTTCCATAACCTCTTCCACTGATTCATGAATAACCTCTCTGTAAACATGTCTTTGTTCTTAGCATAACAATTTCCACTGTTCAGTATATAGGACGACTTTTTGAGGATGCATAATTATTTCCATGGCAATAAAAAGCAAATGATATTGAAATTCATAAAAATTACAACTCCAAGTCACTATCAAACTAATTTTACTTTTCTTATAAGGTTATTTAGAACTTCTTACTAATATTTAAAGCAACAGCGTGTCAAAATTGTAGAAGATAACTTCAACCTGAAATTATTGGCTTATACTATTCTATGACTGTACTGACTAACATTTGCTATAAGTGTCCAGTTAGGCTGGTGGAAAAGTGGACGCTTGAGAAGTGGTGAGAACGTATCATCCTAGGGAGTCACAGGCTTCCAATGACATCTCAAAAAAGAAGTATTGGTAAGCACTGGACTTTCTCAGTATTTGGAGAAGTGAGATGGACGGAACATTGTCTAATAAATGTGTTAAATTTAATAAATAAATTATCTAATCAATTAACTAAATTTGTGGCAACGGATCAGAAGCTGTGAGACATACTTAAAAGCCACAAGATTGCACATATTTTTTTTTTTAACTGCAGAGGATATTCTATAGTGCTTTTATCTCCACCACAAACCATTTACCGAATACTACTTATCACTAGATTTTGTACCAGAAAAATGCTAACAGCTAAAAAAGTTCTGAGACTCTATCTTAAAGAGTGGACTGCTGATAATATTTAGGCTATGATGTCAGTTCAAAGACAGCTGTCACCAACACGTTCTGACTTCGGTTATCAGTTAACCCTGCGGTGAAAATGCTGTACAGCTGAGCCTACCAGTACGAGTGATGACATCATTCCCACAAAGTAGGATGTGCTTAAAATAACCTCAGACTGCCTTTTCATATTTTGACATAATCCATTTTAAATGTCCAGGTCAATCTTAAACTGTACTATGATAATATTCACATTCTATCAGAACATAATTTACACAGTAAAATGCTACTATCTCTGGGTGACAGAAATTTGCATTGAGAATCAGTACAGAAAATAATCATTGTAGTAAGCAAATTTTAAGGGGATATGTAGGAAGGAAATTATGGTCAATGTAGATCTGTTCCTAATACTTCTTATGTTGGAATAGTCTTCAAATGAACACTACAATCTAAATCAACATCCTGAAACGATTTGAAATTCTCAATGCTCCCCAAACTTCAGTATTTTCCAGAAGTCATTTTGGCAGTAAAAATATTATGCTTCTGGTAACATGCTAATTTTGCATACACTAAAAAAAATTAACAGTTGTGTGATCCCTAAGCAGTAAAATAATCCTGAAAGGCTATACAAACAGGCACCAAATTATTAAAGGATTTATACACTAAAAAAAATTAACAGTTGTGTGATCCCTAAGCAGTAAAATAATCCTGAAAGGCTATACAAACAGGCACCAAATTATTAAAGGATTTATACACTAAAAAAAATTAACAGTTGTGTGATCCCTAAGCAGTAAAATAATCCTGAAAGGCTATACAAACAGGCACCAAATTATTAAAGGATTTTATTCTGCAGTAAATTATGTATTTAATGGGTAAAGGCATAGATGTATTCTGTGTATAGTTTAAAAGTTAATAAATGGCCTCAACTTACAACCTTATTTTGAAATATTCAAAACATTAAATAATTGATCATCTTAAAGTAGAGGTGGTTTGTGTGTTTAGTGATTTGTGGGTTCTTTTTTAAAGGAGCCCTGTGTTTCCTTGACATTACTCTTAGGATCCAGGTAGCTGAAATACTGAGACCAAAGCCCTTCAGTAGGCAGGATTAGAGCCAGAAGCAAGTGAAACCATGCCTTTTGCTCTCACTCTCTTTCTGCCACCAATTTTTCTTATATTTTGATAATAAACATGTGCCTTTGGCATGAATTCCAGATGTGCAATCAGAATTTTATGCAGAAAACTATTGCCGAATCATCCTTACTCTCCTCAAATTAAGCCTAATTCCACATTGTTGCCTAAGCTATTTGTCTCCTGTGCTGCTTCTGGCTGTTCCTCAGCCGACTATGAAAATTCCAGTCTACCTTGCATTGCTTTGGCAACAGCTGGGTTGGTATTCAATCCAGTTTATGGCTAGTGAAGACCCTGACTAAGCACTCCCTGGCTTCTTGCCTCTCCCACCCACGGAGGGAATGCAAGTCATGCTGGCTGGCTCCTGTGTCTGCCTTTTCCTTTTAGGGACTGATCCCTCTTCATTATTTTTCTTTGCTTTTCCAGATGTTTGCACCCATGAACGTCTTCACATCCCTTTCCCAAATTTTCTCCTTTGGCACTGATCCAAGAAAACCTCTTCTCCCCTCATAACTGTTTTGATGCTGTAATGATTAAAGCAAAGTGAACAACTTGTTCCTTCCTTTCACTTTATTTAGTCCATGGAAACTGTGTAGCAAGGAAGAATTGATTATTCAGCTTCATAGAAACAAAGTAACATTCAACAAAGCCTTTTAGCTTTATTCCAAGATTCTCATCTTGCAACCTAAACATTTAGGAGTAAAAAAAAAAGGGGGGGGGAAGCTTTGCAGTACTGTAGGCAGGGAATGGAAAAGCAAGGAATGATACTTCATCCAGCCTGTGCATAAACCAAAAGGATGCTCCCTGCAAGATGCAAGGGTTGAATGGAGCAGTGAGTTTCTACAGGAGGTGGAAAACCTGAGGCAAGGGAAGTTCATTGATTTAATGGGCTATCAACGGATCAACCACAAGTTAATTTAAAAATTACAGCTGCTGACTTTCAGAGAACATAACAGCCAGAACAAAGTGGCTGCAAAGCATAGTGACCAGCTGCTGGAGAGAAAGGGACATGCCAGGCACTGTAGGCATATCACTAGATTAGAAAAAAGAGCTGCCAAAGTAGCCTAGAGGAGAAAAGAGTAGTTTTGAGGCAGAGCAAAACTTCAAAACATGGGCTACAGGTGCATGTGTGATCAGCTGGGAATGGGTGGAGAATGATGTCATCCATTCCTGCACCAAAGAAATGGTGGGTGGCCCATTCTGGCAATGGGCAAGCAAAGAGTATGGATAAGGATAAGCAATTTCACCAGCAACAGTTGCTTATAGAAGATACAGCCCCAAGAACCGCAATATTTTGCAAATTAACCATATAAATTAACCATCATAAATTCAGCAGGGAACTGACCTAGTTATAGAACACCTGATTGATCAGTGGTTACTAATAATGAATGTTTTGAGCGGTGTGACAAAAGTTGCCAAGACCTCTGCCCCTATAATTATCTGCTTTAGATAAGCGGCTCAGATAGAATCAGACTATTTAAATCTTGATGTGCGAGTTCAAAATGCAGTCCTCAAAGACTTGTCTTACTCAAGTTACTATACTGTTTATTATAAACCCCTATTTTTGTTGCTCAGTATATAGCATGTTATGTTTTTCTTCTGTCCTGAGCAAAGGAAGTCCTAAGCTTAGAGAATCTTGGAAGAAAGCCAGTCATCTTCAAAAACATGGAATAGCATGCCTTTGATTCTGGCCTAATCCAATGCAGTCCAGGTAGAAACCTTGCATGCATACATACATACATAAAAATAAACGAACG